TTTGGGATTAGAAAAGAGGTAGTGCTGTAATTAAGTATCGGTTTTATCTCTACATAGTATGCTTTGTAATACATGCACCTCATATAAGTGATTGTAGTTAGAGAGGTTTAACGCTATAATATATATATTTTTTGGTCGAATGGTATAATAATTTGCACCAAAATGTTGTTTTGCCTGTTGGATATTTTCTCCACCTCTCTTGCTTTCTCTGCTTTTCACTCCACATTTGTGGGAAAGATTCTGAGTCTTGTCTCCATGCCTTTCCCAGAAAAATAATGAGAGAAAAAGGAGCTTTTAAGGCTGTATAGCACTAAACCACTTAACCAAGTAAGTTAAGGAAAAAGCTTGGTTTATTAAAGTTGAGGAGCAGCTCCTTTTTAGTACCACCAATGTTGTTTTGTTTTGATACCTAGTCAATGTTGTTTGAATTTGACAAGTATCAAAACTCCATTGGTTTTTAAGGAAGAGATGTCAATCTTAAGTTAACTGAGACAAATGCAAGAAAGGTCAACATTTACTTTTGATCTTAGCATGGGAGATGAAATGGGGGCCCATGTGACGTGTCTGCAATATGTAACACGTGGGATGACGAGGCAGGACCCAACAATAGGCAAGCATGTGGTGATGGCAAAACAGAGCCACCTACTGTCTCCATGCAGATACATACAACTTCAAGAACTTATCCTTATGTTGGTAAAGTGCAGTACGTACGTAAGCTAAAAGCTAAGGCTTCCTCTCTAGAGAAATACAGAAGCTTTCCCCATCTCACAATTTAGACTTGAAAAACAAAAATATATTAAGTGGAGATAATTAAAATGTTTTAGTAGCTTACTCTTCTTGTTGAATTCTCTTGGCTTATTGTTGTTCTAGTTTAGAAACAAAGGAAACAAAAAGGGAATAAAATTGTAAAAAGGACCGTCCCAAGCAGTAGTGGGTCGGCCTTTTGAAATCTCCAACTTTCACTTGAAGTTGGTTTCTTTGAAAAGCTTTTGGCAGCTTAGGCTAATACTTAACCACAAAGCAACTTAGCTATTGCCATTACCAGTCAAGAAAAGAAAAGGGAGAAAATGAAATTGAAATTGGTTAAAGTTGATGCGCTCCCTATTCTGCACACAAGTTTAAATCTCCTTTATCGTAGTTTAAATAAATAGAGAAATTTAATGTGTTCCACTAAAATGTTCATTTAATAACTAGTTAACCTTTTCTTTTAGGATTTAAGTTCAAAATAAAAACATAAACTACGTGATAAAACATGGGGATTATCCGAAGGAATAATATAAAGGGCACAAGAAGTAGTAACAAAGCACCCTTGGTTTCAAATCAAATTAGAAAAAGACTGAGAATAGTTCTCTAGAAAGCGAAACCCAACTCTCTCCCTTTCTTTTTCCTTCACCTTTTCTGTTCCAATTGTCACACAGATTCTTCTTCCTTCAACTTTTTCTCTCCAGCACTTGCCACATCCATGACAGAGGTGCACTCTCCAGATAAAACCCATCACCACCTCCCTAAAATGACCGAAGAAGAAGATCATAAAAAAACCCCCACAAAAAAAGAAAGATACATGGCTTCCTCACCAGTTCACACCAGCGGCCCCTACAGATCCATCTGCACCTGCCTTTCCATCTTCCTCCTCCTCGCCGGCGTCATCGCCCTCACCCTCTGGCTCGTCTACCGCCCCCACAAACCCCAGTTCACCGTCGTCGGCGCCGCCGTCTACGACCTCAACGCCACTTCTCCTCCCCTCATCTCCACCAACATGCAGTTCACCCTCGTCACCCACAACCCCAACCGCCGCGTGTCCATCTACTACGACCGCCTCTACGCCTTCGTGTCGTACAAGAACCAGGCGATCACACCACAGGTGGCCCTGCCGTCACTGGTGCACGAGCATCGGAGCACGGTGGCGGTGTCACCGGTGTTGGGTGGCGGGGCGGTGCCGGCGTCGTTGGAGGTGGTGAACGGGCTGACGATGGACGAGGCGTACGGCGTGGTGGGGCTGAGGGTGGTGGTGATGGGGAGGCTGCGGTGGAAGGCCGGTGCGATAAGGACTGCGCATTATGGGGTTTATGTCAAGTGTGATGTTTTGGTTGGGTTGAAAAGAGGGTTTGTGGGTCAAGTTCCTTTGCTTGGAAATCCTTCATGTCAAGTTGATATATGATAACTTGTTTAAATTTCATGTCTCACTTGAATGTTTCCTTTTCTTTTTATTGTACTTATGATCATCCCAAGTTTTTTTGTTCTTCATTTCCCTTTGAATCTGTAAGAGTAATTGAATCAATTTGAGCTCTGCATATCTTCAATTTTGCTCTGATTTTGGTTTTAGTGTTCACAATTGGCATTGCCACATGCCATGGGTGTGTTTCCATGCAGTTGATTAGGTAACACTTGTCTTTACTCTCTAAAAATAATTTTTTCTTTAAATATTTAATATTCAAGGTGGAGCATTTTTTAATTCATATAACAACAACAACATTCAAGGTGGAGCAATACAAGCCCTACTTTTAGTTATGTTATTTTTTGTTTTTAGATGACGCATTTAAGGATACTGGAGATTTCCACGCACACATCTGCAAAAATAATTCAACTGGAAAAATAATTCAAAAATAATTCAACTAGAAGTATTGTAGTTTCTTGGAGTGAAAGGAGGACCATGACATAGGGCATGTATAATAAAGTGAGGTCCATCCATGACAATGGAGGAATGGCAATGGCATGGCTTGGTTCACATATTTTTTTTATAAATATCTGCATCTGCATTTATGTAATCTGGTTGAGTTGAATGGGCATCGAATCGAAATCTCCAAATTCCCTCTTCCATGCATCTATCGATGCTTTGATTATTTATTTATTCTCAGTGTCTAGTAGTAGTGCATGCAGCATATTTTTGCTATTGTATAATAAAGTGAGGTCCATCCATGACAATGGAGGAATGGCAATGGCATGGCTTGGTTCACATATTTTTTTATAAATATCTGCATCTGCATTTATGTAATCTGGTTGAGTTGAATGGGCATCGAATCGAAATCTCCAAATTCCCTCTTCCATGCATCTATCGATGCTTTGATTATTTATTTATTCTCAGTGTCTAGTAGTAGTGCATGCAGCATGCAGCATGCAGCAGAGCTTAAGGGCATCAGATTCACATCTTAATTAAAGTAGCTAGCTACTTAATTAATCAATCTCGAACCTAAACCAATCAACGAAAACTTAACATGGGATCACTTTTCAACTTGTGAGGAGAAAAAGCAAAAACATAAAAGGGGATAAGAAAGAAAAAGATATATGTGAATTTAATCAACTTGTTCGGATAAATGATTCTCGTTTAATTTGCATGAGCCATTCTTTAGTGAGCGTCTTATTTAAGACCCTTTGATCTCTTAATTGCGGGATCAAATCAACGATTAAGAGATAGGGCATCATCTAAAGGCCGTAAATAAGACTCTCGCTATAGAATTCTACAAATTTGCATACAGTACAGTTCTCGACTGGTTTACAATCAAATGCTGAGCTGCTTCCAATTTCACAAGTCCGCAGACAAAATTCAAGTGGCAAATCTGGGCTTTGCTGAAAAACTACAACAAGTATTTATTGGCCCTTTTGATCAATGGGCTTAGCCTACACACATGCCGCCCAGTCACGTGTCTCATGATGACCCATCCACAATCCACCTATCTATGGACCACGTGCTCTCTCTCTCTGTGATCCATTCCATGCAATGCATGCAGGTGCAGCAAGATCAGTCTGTTTTATTCAAGGCTTTGTTCTTTTTCTTCAAAAAGATGACGACTTTTGTGTACGTACTGATAATGAAACCCATCTGAAATTTACTATTTCCCTCTCCATATTTTATCGGTTGAAGCTTACCCATTACTTCAACACTCACAATTTCACAACACAAAAGGAGATTAATAATATCCAACTTCCAAGATCAAAATTGAAACCTCTTCTTCTCTTCTCTTTTCTTGTCAGATCTTTTGGTCTAATTTATACCAAAAAAACTAAAAATATACCAGCAATTCAGAACTTCTTTATTGGCTGTACAACCTATAAATGTTTAGAATAAAACCCAGAAACAGAGATGCAACCCTGGGTTGCATGTTTTACTAATTTTGGTTTCATTAAAATTGTTGGTTTGACATGATTTTCGTTTGAGAAATTGTGGAAGGGAATCTTGATGCATCCAAGTGTTTTTGGGTTGTATTGTAGTCTTGTTTGACAGGTTGTTCTGTCACAAGAATTCTACAGTGAGGGCCTTATATATGATCCTTAGGTGAGATCCTATTTTTTAACTGTTAGATCAAATTGATTAGCCGGTTGATTAAATTAGTCAACCTGATCCAACAATTAAGAGATAGGATATGACCTAAAAGTCATAGATAAGACCCTCATTATAAAATAACTTTATCATGTCGTTGTAGTGCTCTATTTTGGGGCCCATAAACTTTGTCATTTTGAGCTTTTGAAAAGAATCTCAAGTCCGCCCAAAAATCTTTGTCGTTTTGGGGTTTGGAAGATAGAATCTCTCTCTATCTTATCCACCCAAATAACCTAAATTTGACAATGCAATACAGGACCCATAATTAAACACATGATTAACAAAATTACAAAAAACTCAAGGACCCAAAAAAAATCCAACATTCTGGTTTTTGGAAACCCAAACTGACCAACAAAGGTTCGAATTGGCTACCAAAATCAGAAATACAAAATCAATGGCGGATTCAGGATTGTTAATTTAAGGGGGTCTTAGTGTAAAAGTTCCGATATTTTTTTAAGATGAAAATAATACTAAAAGATAATTTTCTATTACTTTTCTCTTATTGTTTAATAATTCTACACATGAACTAATCAAACCAAACAGTCAATCAATTTTTTTAAAAAGAAACAATTTTATTAAGACAAATGAACAAACAAAGAGAGGACAAAAAGTCCATCACAAAATTAATCATAAACCCTAAATTCCAACAAATTAAATAATCATATATAGTCATCCGATCCAATAAATCATCCACACACAAAATCATCAATATTCACCCAATCCAATAAATCATTATCCAACAAAAATATTAGGCATTATCATAATTTACAGTTTAAAAATTACTTGAATATGAGCTTTTCCACACCACCAACTAGAATCACAAATCTCCACCTCCTAGAAACACAAAAAACCCCATTATATAACGATCCAAAAGATTAACTTCCTTAAAAATCAACAAAAGAATGTAACACAGAAGTTTAAGTACACCAAGAACAATAAATTTATAAAATCAGAGATGGAGAGGGAAGAGAATGAAAAACCTGGCGAAATGCAACTCTTAACCTTTTCAGCCATGTTGAGGGTTTGGTTTGGTTTGGTTGGGGGGGGGGAGATTGAGTTGGGAACTTAGGGTAGAAAATAATAGAATTTGGGGGTTTTAGGAGTTAAGTATCGGGTGGGTTTGGGGGCTGTTGCTGGGTCAAGTCATTTTTAAAAAATTCCTAGGTCAAAACAACGTTGTTTTGCTCAGGAAGTTATAAAAAATAAAATAAAATAAAAAAAACAGAAGTGCGATGTGCTTCTTCTTCCTCACGCAGCTAATTTCTTCCTCAGGAAAAACGTCGAGCACCTGGTGTGTAGTTCCAACGGGTCTCTCCCCCAGCTCTTGTATTTTGAATTGTAAGTTATCAATACTATAAAGAAAAATACTTATTTATCTCAATGTCATTGTCTTTCTCTATCTCTTTTTGAACTGTCATTCCATTATAATCTATAGACACTCCCAACCAAAAAAAAAAACAGCTACATCATGAGACGCAGATTGCTCAATCATAACCAGCAAGCATCATTAATTAAGGTGCTACAACAATCCAACAAAGCCTAATTAGTCACTCTGTGTATTCTAAAAATAAACTAAAATGAATATTCTGTGAATTTCATCAGAATATAGATACAAACTTCAAAGCAGAATATTGTTATTGTAAATCGTTTTGTCTATGCCTAATTAATCTGTCCATTGCCTGCGACATTAACTGACTCGACAAAGTTTGCCCCGACCGTGAGACCCATGTGGGCTCCACCACCTACTCAAAATACAGCATTGACTGAAACTTGTAGGTGCATTTGGAATATCTGGTGGAGGTTAAAAGGGTAGTTTCCGCGGATGCAGTTGAAGTTGACGCTGCAGAGCTCCATTTGAAGCAAGTCCTAAATATATAAGACTCTCAAGGCCACAAGGTTTTGATGCAGAAGCTGCTGCTGGTGCCCATCTGAGTTTTTTTTTGGTACGCCACCGCCACTGCCATAAGTAGCTACGACTAAAAGGTAAGATTCTGAGTCCTTAACCTCTTACTTTCTGTTAAAATCCTGATCATCAACTTCCTCTGTATTTCATCTTTTTATGGATGTTCTTTCTCATTCTTGTGAACTCATAAAGCTTGTGTTTTTTTTGTTTTTTTTTTTCATGAGAGAGAGAGAGATAACAGAGAGAGAGAGAATGCTGTGGCTGAGATGGTTTGCTGGTCTTATAGGCTTTACACCAAAGATATATAGTTTATTGGGTTTCTTTTAGATTGTGATTTGCATATTTACTTTGGTGTTGTTCATATATTTGATTGGAGTCTGCTTGCACAATTGTCAAAGGCCTTTGAGATAAATGTTTTGGCATATCAACATTTCTGCTTGCAGTGTACCTGCGTAACAATTTTGTCATTTTGATCAATAAATCTGATCTGATCATATAGCTTGTTATTTTTTTGTTGGTTCTGATTTGACGCTAAGACTTCCTCCTGGCAACCCTAACACACTCTAAGATACTATTTTCAAACCTGCTCCTATAGTTGTTGGTTTGGCTAAATTGCCTTCTTGTAGTAGTTTCATGGGTCCTGAGTTTTCGAGTCCATATCCCATAATGAAAATGCAACTGTACCTCCTAATTTGGGTGCAATTGAGCTTCACTAGTTGTTTCGAACCATGTCAGGGTTGTAGCTGGTAGTTTGGGTACAATTGAGCTTCAATAGTTTTTCAAATTACGTTAGGGCTGTGAGAAATTGGGAGTTGGAGGAGAGAATCATTCTTCTTTTCTTTCTAATTTCTATTTCCATATTTTGAATAGAAATATGGAGGATGAGATAGTTTTGGAAGCTACTAATTAGAAACTTTGTAAGCTTGATCCTCATAAAAGTAATTTGGCAAGCTTTGCTCCCTCCTAAGGTTGCTAAGGACAATGGATAGGCATATAAAAATATCAGTTTTTCTTTGAGAAAGCGAATACTTTAATTTCACCCAGTAAGTCTAACATCCTTATAGCGTGTTTGGAAAAGTAAGGATATTGAGAAAGATTAAAGTTTCTGAGTTAATGAGGTTCTAGAAGTCTGTCTCAGTAAAGACTGCTTTGTATTCTATAGGATGACTCATTTAAAAGGGATTTCCGTGGTCGATTGATTGTTAAGTCTACAAATTGTAGTGGCCGCAAGCATTTCAAGTCCAGCCAGAAAACTGATTAGCAGAATTCCTTCCCTTGATTAGCATCTTTCCTTCTATGTTTTTACTGGTTTTTTCAATAACTTGAGTTGTTTGTTTAGCATGTCTTCATTGCACTTCTGTTTTCAAAGAGATTTGAGGTTGCAGGAAATTGTAGTTATTTCAATAGATTTAACAGTACACTTGTATGCTCTGCTCTCCTTTTAGTGCTCTGGTCTTATCAAGCTCATAAAGCTACTCTAAGTTAGTCAAAATGTTCTTCTGTATTGTGTTACAAATGAGCATTTCCTGCTTAAGCTTATGCTTGTATAGATGATGCATATTTTTTGTTAGCAAAGATGACAGCAAAGATAACGTAATCTTATTGCGGTTTTTGATTGTCCAATTTCAAAACCTTTTGTCTTGCTACTTTCCGTACGCACAGTATTAAGCATTATTTTAATGGATTCTTTTTGTGAATTTTCAGATGGAAGCACAAAATACTCATCATGCACAGGTTATTGAGATCCATCGAGATGGTCATGATGGTGAGTCGAGTGTTGGTGGGAGTAAGATTTGTGGGGAAGCACCATGTGGACTCGCGGATGCTAGATCCAGCTCTAAAGATGCCAAAGAGCGATCAGCCTCCATGCGCAAGCTCTTAATTGCAGTGGTACTTTGTGTTCTGTTCATGGGTGTTGAGATTGCTGGTGGCATTGAAGCCAATAGTTTGGCAATATTGACAGATGCAGCACATTTGCTCTCGGACGTTGCAGCCTTTGCCATCTCCTTGTTCTCTTTGTGGGCTGCTGGTTGGGAAGCCACTCCCCGTCAGTCTTACGGGTTTTTTAGGATTGAAATTCTTGGTGCCCTGGTTTCCATCCAGATGATATGGTTGCTTGCTGGGATATTGGTGTATGAAGCCATAGTTAGAATGATTCATCAGACAACTGAGGTGAACGGCTTTCTAATGTTTCTTGTTGCCACATTTGGTCTCTTGGTTAATATAGCTATGGCCATACTGTTGGGCCATGATCATGGGCATGGGCATGGGCACGGACATGATGGACATGATCATGGTCACAGTCACGGAATGACAATTTCTACTCGTGATCATCATGCTCATGATCATGAGGAACACTCACATGAACATGAGCACCATCACACTCATGAAGATCATAAAAATCATCATGCTAATGAAGATCATGGACACCATCATGCTGATGAAGCTCTTACTGAGCCACTGTTGGATAAGCCAAAAGATGTACTTGGGCAGAAGAAGCAAAGGAACATAAATCTACAGGGAGCTTATCTCCATGTGCTTGGGGACTCTGTTCAAAGTATCGGGGTAATGATTGGAGGGGCAATCATATGGTACAAGCCTGAGTGGAAGATAGTCGATTTGATTTGCACTCTAATCTTTTCGGTCGTTGTTTTGGGGACAACGATCAATATGATGCGGAACATACTTGATGTGCTGATGGAGAGCACTCCAAGAGAGATTGATGCAACGAGACTTGAAGAGGGGTTGCTGGAGATGGATGAAGTGGTGGCTATCCATGAGCTGCATATATGGGCTATCACAGTGGGGAAAGTCCTGCTGGCTTGCCATGTGAACATCAGACCAGAAGCAAACGCAGACGTGGTGCTGGACAATGTGATAGATTATATCAGAAGGGAGCATAACATCAGCCATGTGACCATACAAATTGAGCGTTAGAGGGATGTTTGGACAAGATGCTCACAGAGGAAAGGTCTTTAAATTGGTTATATCGCTGCATATTCTCTTCTTAAAAGGGGTTTATAGTTTTAGCATCAAGATTGTATTTAGGCAGGACAGTGGTTACACTGCTCACATGTTTCTTCTTTTATTTAGAAAGTTGCATGTTTGGTGCTCCTAAGCACTTGATATTTGGGATTCAAGATGCAGATCCAATAGAGTGCTTGGTTTTATGAGCATTTCCTGGAGCCTTGCTGTCACAAGCTTACAAGGGTAATGGTTCTCTTTCAGTTAGCTCATATATTGAAGAAGTAAATAATGCACAATAATAGTACGGTGCACAACCGTCGGATTGGTAATTTGTAACAGTTTGTGTAGCTTTGTAATGTTTGGCTTACAATCTGAGTGGCCCATTTTTCTACGGTACACATACAAACTAAGTACGAAGGGCAACAAATGACCAATCAGATGGTGTATTATACCTTTAAAGTGGTGTTACATTACTCAATTCGCCAAATGTACCACTCAATGCGCAATGAGGACTCAACTCAACCGATGTAGTATTTCCCGGTATTCGTATTGAGGATGAGTTGGGTGTTATAGCCGAACCCAAATCCAAACCTTGAGTGATATAGGATTTCTTTTTCTTGCAAATTTGTCTAAATTTTAGGTAAAATACTATCCAACCTAAAAGGGAACAATACACACACATGGGCTCTGGTGAGAAAGTTGGGCTCTTAGATGGATTCAATTGTTATATGTAAGGCGAAATTCTATAGTGAGGGTGTTATATATGGACTTCTCATGTAAACCTTCATATTAGTCACTGGATCATTTCATTAAACTCAAGTGAAGTTACTATTCAGATGAATCATGTGGCTAATATGAAGGTCCATATCTATGGTCAATATATGGCACCCTCACCATAGAACGAAATGAACCCAAAGTCTTATATATGCTTGGAGAAAAAGAAAGGGGCTAATATCTGCTTCCAAGAATCTTGTCTACTGTCTCTTTTGATCCCTTCTTGATAGCAAACAGAAGTTTTGCTTATGCAGCACAAGAAGATATATACATATATGATGTGTGTGTATACAGGCCTCAAAGCCATTTGGTAATAGGTGTGGTTAGGGGTGAGCATCGGTTCGAAACCAATGATTTTTTACCAATTCAATCTTTTATTGGATTACAAATTTTACAATTCAATTCAATATGGTCGGATGGTAGGATCCAATCCAATCCAATCCAATCCAATTCAGTGTACATTGGATTGGATTGGATTGGATGATCGGTTTCTATGAA